ATATACTGCCTAACCTTAAAGCTTATCAAGCTTTTTAGTTGTGAGTTTTTTGGTTGTTAATATTTTAGGCTTGATTATGATTACGCCTTCCATATCATATTGATTTGGGTTATTTCCTTTCATAAATCTTGATTAGGTTATAGTGTATTCTATTTACTTTTAATCTGGATTGCGTCCAATGGTCCTCTTGTTTTGTCACAACTATGTAGTTATGTTTGACCCTCTTTTCATCATTGTCAGTTCTTGAATTGTTTCTCTCTTGCATTTGCTTTGTATTGGGGATTTTTAATACTCGTTCTTCCCTAGTAACAATTTAGTTTATTTTCCAATGTATAGGTAAAGATTGGTGTTCAAGGTGCTGCAGAATGTGGTGAATTTGAAGAATGGTTCAATTATAGACTATCAAGAGCAGCTCCTGAGACATGTGCAAACTTTCTTGGTAGCTTTGTTGCTGAAAAAACTAACTCACGATATACTAAGGGTGAGAAATGGCTTGTCTGGAAATTTGAGGTACTTGGGCAGTTTAACATACTTTTCTCAGCGAAAATTTTCATTTCATTGGAACTGTGTTCATGGCTTTTTGTGTTTTGAAAGTCAAATACAAGGTCATCTGTCAGTTAGTATTTATCGATTAGACTTGCTGCATGCCTGCATCAGCATATATTGTTCAACATCGGTAGCAATATGTCACATTGATTTCCCAGTAAAAGAAGAAAAAGAATCAAGTCGATGAGAGGAGCTGAGACCTCTTTCTCCATTTTCTGACGTTTGAATCTTTAGAAATAAAAAAAATGCAATAGTTGTCCAAACCTTATAAACACCATAGGATTTATGAGAATAAGAGCTTAAGCATTCAATTCTGAGCAAGGATGTTAGGGCAAAAGCTATAGGTAACCAGTTGCAATTAGCAGTTACCATATCCCTTCCCCCATAAGAAATTTACCTCACAAACTCATCATCTTCGAAACCATTTCTACAAAGTCTTCCTGAATCTCATCTTCCATCCAACTACTTCAACTTAAGTTGCAGTCATGGTTACCTGGAAATGCTATCGAGTCTTCTTAAGCAGTCCCACCCTCCTTCATCGTATGTATAGTATGTGGAGCCTTCCCAAGTTTGGACACAACAAACATAAAAGCTATGTGGAAATGTAATAATCTAATTCGATCTTACTAACTGCCTGGATGCATGCTGTTTTCTATGATTAGATTTATGGCTGTTTCCATATTTCTGTTTGGTTGAATTGCATCAGAACTTGTAAGATGGCAGCTGCATCCATAATGTAGAACTTCATGTGACAGGGAGATCGGGACCTAGGTGATTACATGAAGGATCGCGGCTTCCCCTTGAACATTGAATCTGTCATGTTTGGTCGTGTCTTACAAGGGTTGGACTCAATTCAACGGAATGCACTAATTATCAAACAAATCATGCGTCAGATTATTACTTCCCTTAAGAAAATCCATGACACAGGTATAGTCCATAGAGATGTAAAGCCATCCAACTTAGTGGTCACAAAGAAGGGACAAATCAAGCTGATAGATTTTGGGGCAGCAACTGATCTTCGAATTGGAAAAAATTATGTGCCTGACAAGGGGCTACTCGATCCTGATTATTGTCCACCTGAACTCTATGTAATGCCAGAAGAAACTCCAAAACCACCACCAGAGCCAGTTGCTGCACTTCTTTCCCCATTCTTATGGCAGGTATCCTTCTAATACATGGATTTATATTCCTTGTAACTCTTCCTTTATTGCCGATGGTCCATCGGAAACTGCCCCTCTACCTTCTCAAGGTAGGGGGTAAGGTATGCGTACATTTTACCCTCCCCAAACCCCAATTGTGGGATTACACTAGGTTTGTTGTTGTTGTGGTTCTTCCTTCATTGTAAGCTTGACACAGAAGATTATTCTATATGTAAGTATAGCAGAAAGGAAAAAAGAAAAACTAAGGGTGTGTTTGGCATGGAGGACAATGGTTTCCAACTTTCCCATGCTTTGTTAGTAAAAAATTTTGGCAAACATTCTTGACTCCTCCCCATCCTCCAACATACTCCGTCCCCTACACCACCCCTACCCTCCATCCCCAACCTTCAAAGTGTTTGCATAGAATAAATGTTTTTGGGATAATATTTTATGCTTACTTTGAACTCTAGAAAATAAGTAAGAAAACCACTTTTTTTCCAAGATTTTTTTTTCCAGAAAACCATTTTCTTTCATACCAAACGCACCCATGTGTCAACTCCATTTACTACATTAGATTTTCAGTCTTTTGCAAAAATATCTGACGATGACGTTGCAGAGTTCACGCTTTATACTTAAAGCAGGATAACTCTTGTTATTGCAGCTAAACAGTCCCGATCTCTTTGACACGTATTCTGCTGGAATAGTGCTCATGCAAATGGCAGTACCGAGCTTAAGGTCTACAGCAGGCTTAAAGAACTTCAATATGGAACTAAATGCAGTTGGATATGACTTGAATAATTGGAGAGAAAGGACTAGGACGAGGCCTGATCTCAGTATCCTTGATCTCGACTCTGGTAGAGGGTGGGATTTGGCTACGAAACTTATTTCAGAGAGAGGTAGACGTTTATCTGCTGCTGCAGCTCTTAGACATCCTTATTTCCTTCTAGGTGGTGACCAAGCTGCTGCAGTTCTCTCAAAACTTAGCTTCTCAAAATAGGAGCACAACTTGATGATGCAAGTAGAACATGTTGTGCTTGATACTTGTTTCCCTCCTTGTTCTGCGGATATTCTTTTTGGTCTGAGACGTCTTCTCCTCGTTATTATATGGAGTGATTTATTCTCCATTTGTGCAGTTTGCTTCACAAGTTTCAAGTTTCTTTTACTGATGAGCAGCTGCATAGAGTCATTGAAGTGGTTCCAAACCCGAAAATAAGAGAAGATGCTAACAGGGCACAATGACCTGCTATTCTTTAGCTCTTTCTGCTGGATGGCATTATGGCCAAAGTATTTATAAGATCCAGAAAGATATTTGTAGTTTCCTCATATTGTTAAGGTAAAGAAAAATCGAAAATCATACACATTTACTTCTAACACTTTGTTGAAGGACAAGAAGAACTTTCAGCTTGTAGAAGTCAAGTTCTTTTTCCCTGCACGGCTAGCGCGATCAGTAAGAAATGTATAAAATTCAACAGTTATAAAGATCACCATTTGCAGAGCTGCAAATAACTTGTCTCTGATTCATTATCTTTGTAAACAAATGACATGACCAGCTATTGGCTGGCAGAGTTGTATATGAATTCTTGCTTGTATTTCTTATACATCAGTATTTCTCTTCGGGGTATATTGGTTCTTGTAGTTTATACAGCTAGGCTCGGGTATCGAGCTGACCCGAGTAGAGTCGAGGTCAACCAACCCTTCTTTAGCAGTACCAAACTGAGTTGAGCCCGACCTGAGCTTATTTACAGTAACTAGCTGGGTGAGCCTTAGCCAAGCCTAACCAATTTTATTTTATTTTATTGAATTCGAATCACGCATTGCAAGGCTCATTTTGGAGGTGGCTGCTTCCAATAAGATTTTCTCCATACTCAAGGCTCAAACTTGAGTAGAGCTGAGTCTCAACTACTAGGTTCATTTGAATTCATTAACTTTGGCTCACACCTTATGTATGTGTGTAGAGTTTTTTTACAAAATACTACAAATAATTAGTTTTGAACCCAAGAAATCAAATGTATATGATGAAATTTTGATCTTGAATTCATAAAGTTAAATTTTTAGACCCATTTCTATCTAAATCTGTGCTTCTCTATTTATATAAATAGAGAGCAAGGGTTTTGGGGGATTTTCAATAATTTATAAACTAAAGTTGAGAGTGATTAAATTAGAAGAAAGAAATTTGAATTGACTCTGTGATAGTGTGACTAAACAAACTATAGTACTTAAATATTTGATAGGAGTATTAAGTTCATGACAATGAGAAATTAAAATTTAACTTAAGAATAATAAGAAATTATTAAATTCGTATTAAGATTCATTGATTATAAAACATAAAAATTATGTGACTTGTAATATGCTTAATTTAAAGATTTAAGTTGAATAATGTTGAATTAAATTGAATACATGTAACATAAAAATTATATTTGTACAGTAAAAAGAAAGATATGCCGTCTTAATTTATGTGGCATTCTTTACTTTTTAGTTCGTTAAAAAAATAATAACTTACTAATGGTTCGAAAATAAGATTTATTGATGAGACTAAACTCCATTTTACCATAGATTTGGAAATAAAAACTTAAAAATTTGATTTTTGGAAGTTGTAATTTATGAAACCTGAAGTTGTGTTTGGATATGCATTTTACTTTGAAAAAATTAAAGTTTTTTGTGAGTTCAAACGAATTTTGAAGATAAATTATAAATTTCACCACTATTAGATATTTGAAGATAAATTTTCAAAATCTGATCTAAAATCTACGAGTTCTTGCAATATCTTCATCCTCTGTAGAACTGTATCCTACATTGGATCATCATCATAATCTGCCTTAGAATCAAAGATATCAGTATCTTTCTCTTTATACCTGTGATTCAGCGTGTAAAAGAAGCCAAACAATGTCCACTCACACACTCACTTCAATTCACAATGTCATGAGACTCGATCCACGATTTAAACTTTATTGAGTTCAATTTTTAAAGTTTTCCACACCGAATCCGTCATATTTTCAAAAGTTATAACATCATATTTACTATTCATTACAATTTTATTAGTTCTTACACATAAATTTATACTCTGAGTTAAAAGTACTGAGTTCAGATGAACTTGATCCCGTAACAACGGATCCACCATTATAATTCAGTGATAATTGTCTCACAATTATGAGTGTAATCGATAGTGGAATTAGACAACAGTTAGATTGGCTTCTAAGATGAGCAAAATCATTAAAATGTCGAATTTGCCTAACAACTTTTCCCCCCACCCACCAACTACCCTTAAAAAGCAAAAAAAATCCCTCCAAACTTTTATTTGTATTTTTCACATATTAAAAGTGACCATATGTATGAAAAATCAAATTAGTTATTTGCTGATCTGAAGCAAATTTTTGAACAATGGCAGCCACTCGGCTGTTACTCTGCTTTATCGTCTTCTCGTCTGGCATCGATTTCATTTACACTGTTACAGATCCCAGAGATGGTAGGAACTTTGTATAAAATTGTCGGATCCAGTATTTGAACTTTATGAGTTTTACTATTTGTTGCAGTTTTTGTGAACTTTTACTTATAAATTTATGCTCTGCGTTGAAAGTACTGAGTTCAGATAATAATGTTTTGTTATGAATAAGTGTGAACTTGGTTGATTGCAGTAACGATACTTCGATCACTGAAAGATCAGTGGGAAAATACGCCGCCTAGTTGGCAGAAATCGGATGATCCTTGTGGAACATCTTGGGAAGGTGTAACCTGCAACAACTCAAGGGTAACTGCATTGTGAGTATGCTTTTTCTCTTCCAATATCTGGGGATCGTTTGGTTTACATTCTAGTTATACGATGACTAATAACACATGAGTTGTTATGCATGATTGTATAATTTAAGTGCATTTCCGCCTTTAGATGCTCTTATCCACGTATTACTCACACATGTATTGTTGTTCTACATTCTATCTGTGAAAAATAATATATAGATTCTCGTCTAAGTTATACAAGGTTTTAGTTTCCAATATTAAACTTCGCATGACTAGTGCAGAGTTTAATACCGGAAACAAAACATCATGTTAGTTATATGGAAACTATATTATCTTACAAATTTTTAGATGGAAAACCAAATCTTGTGTAAGTAATACGAAAATCTATACATAAATTTATTTTTTTTAGGAAAAAAATACATAATTAGACGTACTTCGCTATTATGTATACATCATTACCTATACTTCCAAAAAAATTACCTATCCTACCACTAATTAAGAGTTTCCTCCATATATTGAAGAAGATACACTTAGATACATGTATTTTTGCTACCATATATACTAAAATAGGGAGAGAGGAGAGCGAGATGGGGAGGGAGGCTAGCGAGATTCGTTATGTATCTGGATACATGCGAATCACACTAGATATGTGTATCTGGTGTGATTCACATATGAGATATTAGATACATAGGAGAGTGGCAAGCGAGATGGGAGAGAGGTGAGCAAAATTTGTAATGTATCCAGATAATGCGAATCCACTTGGATACAATGTATCTAGAACAAATTACACTTAATTTTGACCTCATGTATCCCGAGATACATGTATCTGGATGTATCTAGACGCACCAGAATATGATAAGATACGTAATATTGCAAACTAGAGTGTATCAAAGTAATTAGCTCCTAAAATTAGTGGGATTTATGTAAGTTTTTCACCTTTTTATACTTCAAACCAAGCCACATCTTAGTTTTTGAAATTGTTGTTTCACCAACGAAGCAGTTGTTAACAATTGATTGTGTTTATTGTTTCTTTCAGGGGATTATCAACAATGGGACTGAGAGGAAAATTAAGTGGTGACATTGGAGGGCTCACTGAATTAATTTCCTTGTGAGTTTGGTTTTTAAATCCAATAAAATTTTGTTGATTATTAGCAATAAGCTTGTATTTGTCACCATAATTTGCTCACTTCAGTTGCTAAACTTGCATTGCAGAGACCTGTCGTTCAACCGAGGACTTACAGGTTCTCTTTCTCCGCGGATAGGAGATCTGCAGAAACTAAACATATTGTAAGACTATGAAAACTTGATGGTCTTGATTGTATAATGTATACCCTCTATGTACACAAAATTGACATTTATAATATTTTCGTCATAGATTGATCATTTGATTAGCTTTCTTCTTCGTAATTTGTATCACGATTCAATGATATACATAACTTACATGTACGTGAATGTATTTATTTACTTTTCAGAATCCTCGCGGGCTGTAGCTTCAGTGGCAGTATACCGATGGAGTTGGGAAGACTTGCTGAGTTATCATTCTTGTAAGAATTTCTCAGCCATATTAACTTGTGATCATTTTAGGTGTATCATCAATTCATCTAGTTCCATGTCAATTTCTTTGACACAGAGCACTTAACTCGAATAATTTCACTGGTGAGATTCCACGAACTCTTGGCAATCTGTCGAAACTCTACTGGCTTGATCTAGCAGATAACCAGTTAACAGGACCAATTCCTGTTTCAACTTCCTCAAGTCCGGGGTTAGACCTTCTAAAAAAAGCAAAACACTTGTGAGTAAACTTTATATATTCCTATCAAGCTGTTCTTAAGACAGGATATATACCTCTTAAGGTCTGACTTCTATGTTATGTCATTATCGCAGCCATTTTAACAAAAACCAACTTTCAGGCTCCATTCCGGACATTCTTTTTAGTGCTGACATGGTTCTAATACATGTGTAAGTCAAGAAACTAAAGAGTGATTCGCATTATTCTTCCTGCCCTCCTTCTCACTTTGTGAACTTCTGATATGGCAGACTGTTTGATGGAAATCAACTAAGCGGGAGCATTCCACTTACACTAGGACTTGTTCAGACACTTGAGGTTCTGTGAGTAGAATTGACCGTCTTATTTATCCTACCTTTCATGCTACTTCACCTTCTGTTTTGGATTATATGCTTGTACACTTTTATCTTTTGCTGGTATTCATGTAATGTAACATATACAGTCGGCTCGATAGAAATGCCTTAAATGGTAGTGTCCCATCAAACCTCAAAAATCTCACAAGCGTTGTAGAGTTGTAAGTATACTTTTTCCCATCATTGCTCACTCAATTTTCTGCTTGAAATCAATAACTTGTAGATTGAAGTTGTACTTTTGTGATCTTATTTCTGTTTTCAGGAACTTAGCTCACAACGAACTGTCCGGTCCACTACCAGATTTAACTGGAATGAATTCCCTTAATTATCTGTAAGGAAAATATCTGGAATCCTGATTTTCCCTAGTTGTTTCTCAATGTTGAAGTGATACATCATATTTTGTTTCTCTTCCAGGGACTTGAGCAATAATTCCTTCCATAAATCGGAGGCACCTATATGGTTCTCGACTTTAGAGTCTCTCACCACTCTGTGAGTATTAATCAGTTATGAATGAAACTATGAATTTCCAAAAAAGTTTGATGAATCTAAGTAGGAAGAACTGATGTAATGCTCAGAGTCATTGAGTATGGCTCACTTCATGGATCAGTGCCTCAGAAACTTTTCGCTTTACCTCAATTACAACAAGTGTGAGTATCCCGATCCTAACTGAATATGCCATGTCTATTACCTGCAATGAAGAGGTTGTAATGATCGTAATAACTTATGCAGGAAACTGAGGAACAACGCATTGAATGATACGTTGAACATGGGTGGCATCAGTGGCAGGCAACTCACTCTTGTTGATTTACAGAACAACGATATTTCATCAATCACGCTTGGCTCTGGATACAAAAATACCTTGATGTGAGATGGTTCATTTCTCCTTTTTGTCGATTAGATTTTTTTTTTCTCTCTTTCTTTCTCCTTGATTGCTTTGTGGTTGTCATCAGACTGATCGGAAACCCTGTATGTGACACGGCCCTTGGAAACACGAACTACTGCCAGCTTCAGCAGCAATCTGCAAAGCCTTACTCAACCAGCCTAGCTAACTGTGGGAGCAAATCATGTCCTGCTGATCAAAAAGTTAGCCCACAAAGTTGTGATTGTGCTTATCCGTACCAGGGAACATTCTACTTTAGAGGACCCTCTTTTAGGGAGTTGTCCAATGATAATACGTTCCATTCACTCGAAATGAGCCTGTGGGTGAAGTTGGATCTCACGCCCGGTTCAGTTTCTCTGCAGAACCCCTTCTTCAACATTGATGATTATCTTCAGGTGCAGTTAGAATTATTTCCACCAACAGGAAAGTATTTTAATAGATCAGAGGTTGAGAGGATTGGATTCTCCTTGAGTAACCAAACTTATAAGCCGCCTCACGAGTTTGGACCGTACTATTTTATAGCATCTCCTTACACTTTCCAAGGTATAATTACTGAGTTTCTTTTCAACTGTAACTTCTAGACCAATATACTGACTTAATACTAAAACTGTTTCAGCCGAACGTGGAGAAACTTCTATTAGCTCAAGACAAGTTATAGGAATAGCTACCGGGTGTACCATCCTGGTCCTCTTGCTCGTTGCTCTTGCAATATATGCTATTCAACAAAAGAAACTTGCTGAAAGAGCTATTGGATTGAGTAGACCATTTGGTAATGTCATCTTTCATAGAAATAAACCGATGAGTTATAACTATATATACATTCAAGCCTCTCTATAACAATCATCTTCTATGATAACATTTCACTATAACGGCCAAGTTTTCTTTGGAACTGATTTTTCATGTTATGTTGAATTATATGTTCTCTATAACAACATTTCGCTATAGCAGCCAAAAAAATATCAGAACAAATGACGTCTTTATAGAGAGGTTTGACTGTATGTCCATAATGCAACTAGAATTGGACTAAAATGTCTGATTACTTTGACGTTCTTTGTCCAGCATCGTGGGCTCCAAGTGGAAACGACAGTGAAGGTGCACCACAACTAAAGGGCGCCAGATGGTTTTCTTATGATGAACTTAAGAAATGCACGGGAAACTTCTCGGAGAGAAATGAGATTGGTTCCGGTGGCTATGGGAAGGTTTGCTATGAAAATCCATTGTATATACAGAATAAATCAAAGAGGATAAACTCTTCAGCTGCTTTTCTTATTCGCGTGTGTTCTGTTTCCTAGGTCTACAGAGGAACGCTCGCGAATGGGCAAGTAATTGCTATCAAAAGGGCTCAACATGGATCCATGCAAGGTGGACAAGAGTTCAAGACGGAAATTGAATTGCTTTCACGGGTTCATCACAAGAACCTAGTTGGTCTGGTTGGATTCTGTTTTGAGCAAGGGGAACAAGTACTGGTATACGAGTATATGCCAAATGGTTCACTCAGGGAGAATTTGTCAGGTAAGTTACATCCTCCTATACATTAAAGACTACTTCCTATTTATAGTAATTTACACTAAAAAGTTCCTAATATTTCCATTTATCTGTAGAAGTTAATTTCCACTATGCTCTACAGGGAAAACGAGCATTTATCTAGATTGGAAGAGGAGACTTCGTGTTGCGCTTGGTTCAGCCAGAGGATTAGCTTATCTGCATGAGCTTGCCAATCCTCCTATAATTCACAGAGATGTGAAATCAACTAACATTTTGTTGGATCAGAACTTAACAGCAAAGGTCGGGGATTTCGGCTTGTCCAAACTCGTATCAGATAGCTCAAAGGGTCATGTTTCCACTCAAGTTAAAGGCACATTGGTCAGTACCACATCCTGCACATTTTCACGTTCTATTTCAAGAAAAAGATTGAATTTTGTTGAACTCTTGAAGCATGAAATTGAATTTAAGACTATTGATGACATTGCAGGGTTATCTAGATCCTGAATACTATATGACTCAACAACTAACCGAGAAGAGCGATGTGTATAGCTTTGGTGTTGTAATGCTAGAACTCATAACTGCAAAACAACCAATAGAGAAGGGGAAATACGTTGTTCGAGAGATGAGAACAGCAATTAATAAGAACGACGAGGAGCATTATGGCTTGAGCAATATGATCGATCCAGTCATTAGAAACATGCCAAATCTAATTGGTTTTACAAGGTTTGTGGACGTGGCAATGCAATGTGTTGAAGAGGCTGCTGCTGATCGTCCAACGATGAGTGAAGTGGTAAAAATGCTTGAAAGTATTCTGCAAAATGATGGTCTGGAAACAAATTCTACGTCTGCATCATCATCGATAACGGATTTTGGGACAGCAATAGCTGCTTCTAGACATCCTTATAATAAAGAGGCTCTACAGAGAAAGGAGATAAATGATACTCATGCTTTTGATTACAGTGGTGGATACACTCTTCCAACAAATGTGGAACCAAAATAGTGACAACCAAAAAAAAAGGACTTGTCTCTACTGTCTCTCATTCTTTAATTTATTCTCTAGTAAAAAAATTGGAAAATTGGTGAAAGGGATAAGAGAATTTAGTTGTTATATTGTCCCTACATTGGCTAATTTTCGCGAAACAATCACGTATAGTATCAAGATCGAAGTTCAGATTTTATATTGCCAAGGCTTACAGTCTAGTAGTATCAGTGAGAGTCTCCTATACACTAAGTGTGAGTTCGATTTTTACCATTCCCGATCCTCGAATGTAATAGGAAAAAGTTAAAAGGAAAAAGTTTAGATTTTGTACCATCAAGGCTTACAGTCTAGTGGTACACGTAAGAAGTCTTCCATACACTAAGTGTGAGTTCGATTTTTTACTATCTCTTTTCCCATTCCCTGATTCTACAATGTAATAGAAAAAAATTAAAAATTAAAAAGTTGAGATTTTCTAGGTATGAGATTTAAAAATGCATGATCATGGTAATTTTATCATTTTATGTGTCAATATAGTAATTAGAAATATCAAATATCCCTTTCACTAATATTTGATATTTCTCAACTTTACATTAGACTACTATCGTCTAACATTTGCAATAATTTACAAATTTTAGACCGTGGTCTAATGTTTACACATTAGTCTTTTAGTCTGTTTAAAAGAGATCTTTAGACCTCGTTATATTTGATTCACAAATACTAGTTCAGAAGATTTTATGAGTTTCTCCATAGCGGAAGTGGATTTGCAGCTACTATGACTCGCATCACCGATCGTCAGAAAGCGGATGAACTCCCTTCAACCTAAATATCCTTTAGTGATGCAAACATTTCATTAACCCTATCCATCATCTAAAGTGGAATAAAACTTATTTTTTCTACACCCATAATGGTGAATTTATACACTACGATTAGAGTTAAGAAAAAGGGACAAACTAATGAGCTAATTTACTAATTAACCCCCCTTATGAGTGAGCCCGACCCAATAGATATTTTCAACCGACCGTAATCTAAGAAATTCACAAATTGCAAGTAAAATTATAAAAGTATCATTTACTAATCAGTTGTCCCAAAGAGAATCACAAGTGAAAATTTCACCACATGTGGGATACAAGAACACACTTACATGATATTTTAAACTCATAAACAACAAACAAACAACAAGAAACTAAAGTACAAGAGTAGTAATCCTTCCACTTCTTCTAGAATGTGGGGAATTGAAACCACACCAGTAAGGTGAAAGTTCAGATAGTCAATCAACTGAGCGATTAAAATTCCCCGAGAGTACTAGTCATCCTTCAATTTCTTCTAGAAATTAAATGTAGTTTTGCATAACAATTGAGGCAAATGGATTAGTTTTACTATACCCTCCATCAATCACCAAATTAACACCACTCACATACTTAGACTCATCACTTCCCAAATAAACAGCAGCCTCAGCAATATCTTCTGGTTCCAATATCCCCCCTTTAAGATTAGCAGTTTCCATAATAATTTCCTCTGCTTTTTCCTTATCCATTTTCCCCAAAATTTCCCTAACAAGTGGTGTAACAACTGTATATGGAGAAATACAATTTACTCTTATTCCATATTTTCCCAATTCAACAGCTAAATGATTTGTTAGTCCAACTACAGCATGTTTTGATGAAGCATATGTTATCGGTGAAGCAATTCCACCAATTACAGAAGCAACACTAGATGTGAACAAAATGCTACCTTTTTTAGTTGGTATCATAGCTTTGGCTGCAATTTTAGCTCCTAAAAATGCCCCGTAAACATTCACATCGAACACATTCTTGAAGTTGTTATAATCCGTTGCTAAAATACTCGGATCCTTCATGTTTCCTGTTATACCTGCATTGCTGAACATGATGTCTAGCTTTCCATACCTCGAAACTGCTCCGTCTATCGCGTTTTCCATGTCATTTTCGTTTGTGACATCGCAATGTGTGAAGGAGATGGTGTCGTTTGAGCCTAGTTCTTTGCACAGGGCTTGACCTGTTCGATCAGACATAATATAATTAAGTAATTAATATGTAATAAGTTGACTAATTAGAAATGTCTTTTTTAGTGACAACAGATAAAACTTTTAGATGAAAATATCACACGAACCTAAGTCATCTTGAACATCGGCTACCACAACCTTCGCGCCATGTTTTGTGAAAAGCCGAGTTGCAGCTTCTCCAATTCCACTAGCTCCGCCTGTGATCACTGCTACTTTACCTTCTAACCTGCAAATTTAGATGTTCTTTACTTAATTGCAATCACCATATTATTCTTACACACCAAAAAAAAATAAAAATCGATCACTCAACTAATAGTTGTTATCTAAAAAAAATCATCTTTTTCCTGAGATAACAACTAAGAGTTGATTGTAATGATCACTCGATCTATAGTTGCTATCTCAGAAAGTCATATTTTCTCTTGAGTTCAATTTTCTTTTACTGATATGATAACTATGAGTTGAATGATTGTCTGATAAATCAACTCTTATATGAGTTGAGTGACCATCTCATAAATCAACTCTTTTATGAGTCAGATGATCATCTGAGAAATCAACTCATCTGTTCAACGAATTGATGATAGGACTAATTTCAGTTGTTGATAGTCACTACCTTTTGAAAATTGGAGTTACTGATGAAGGAATTCCCATTTCTTTGGCTAAGGAAATAGTCTCAAGAACTATTTGCTAAGTACTTTGTTTCTGTATATATATATGATTTTGTGTCTCCAGATTTATAGTGCATCAAGTGGAAAATAATCATAACAATATAAATAAATAACATATATAACAGATAGTCAGATATGGCGGCTATATATTAATTACACAATCAAAATTCTTATCTTAAAACTATTTATATTAAACGTACGTAATTGGTACATGTCATGTCAGCAAAGCAAGAATAAGCTATTAATTTTTTTTTAATGAAAATCATACTGCAATTATTTTATTTTGCGTAGTATATTGACTTTGACTATCTAGATAGACTAGAAGATTGCACAAAGTTGACAACCGAATTAAATATGCTAATGGTTGAAATAAAATAGGAGAATAATCTATAAACGTATTTTTTTAACTTAACTTTCAACTGTTATTTATACACTTTAACTTTGCTTGTATTGAGTATTGTGTATAAATAAATACTTAAATTTATAGAAAACTAAATAAATAGACGCGCTCATCCTACATGACATTCTTTATGATAATTTTGTGTCGTAATTATAAAGAATAAGATGGGAAGGTCAAAAGATAATTTCATTAAGTCTGGCAGCAAGCTATTATATACATAATCTTCAACCAACTGATGCTAAAGTGCAGGCCACCACATGCACATGATCTACAACTAACTAATGCTAGATAATAGGAACTATAACTACTCTTAAATGTGCTCCACATAGTAGGAGACTTATTCAAACTAGTAACAAGAGGTAAATAAAACATATACTAGAAGTTACTGCAGTTAGCAACCTACAGATATCGTTAATACACCCCCTCAAGGTAGGCAAGGTGCAACAATGCCTAACTTGGAACGACACCTAGTAAATGTTGATTTAGGCAGTGGCTTGGTGAATGTATCAGCAAGTTGATCACAAGCATGCGTATGAGTAACATGGACTCGATGATCTTGAACCTGGTCACGGACATATGCAAAATCAACAGCAACATGTTTCATACGGGTATGAAAAACTGAGTTGTGAGATAAATAAGTCACTCCAACATTGTCACAGTAGATTGTTGGCGTCTTCGAAATGGTGACATGTAACTCATGAAGTAAGTTTCGCACCCAAGTGAGCTCTGCAAGTGCATTGGCGACGGATTTGTACTCTGCCTCGGTGGATGAGCGAGCTACTGCACGTTGTTTTTTTGATGACCAACTGACTGGATTTGGTCCAAAGAAAAGAATGTAACCTGATGTAGAGATTCTGTCATTTGGATCGCCAGCCCAGTCCGCATCAGCATACATATACAAATTGGAGTCAGAGCTGCGAATGATGCGAAGTCCTGAATTTGAAGTTTCTTTGAGATACCGTAGCACTCTTTTAACCGCTTTCCAATGTTCATCAGTCGGGACATGCATAAATTGAGACAATTTATTGACTGCATAAGAGATGTCAGGCCGTGTGAGGGACAAATACTGCAATTTGCCAAGGGTACGCCGGTAGCGAGTGGCATCAGTATGTGGCGAACCGTCAGCCACTCGAAGTGGTACAGTGGAACACATGGGGGTAGAAACACCTTTGCAATTTTCCATATCCAGTTCGGAAAGAATATCCAGAATATATTTTGATTGAGAAAGAATGAGACTATCTGGTATGTGCTTAACATCAACACCCAAAAAGTAGTTCAAATAACCAAGATCTTTCAATGAAAATCTAGTTGCCAAGGAACTGATGAAAAATTTGATCACTTTTGGATGGTTGCCAGTGATTATGATGTCGTCAACATAGACAAGAACGCAAATAGTTATAGCCATATGCTTCCATACAAATAGAGAGGTGTCAGATTTTGTTCTGACAAACCCCATTTTCAACAGATGTTCATGCAGAGAATTATACCAAGCCCGAGGGGCTTGTTTGAGGCCATAAATAGCCTTTTTCAGCTTGCAAACATGAGTCGGGAATTGGGGATTGATAAATCCTTGGGGTTGAGACATAAACACTTCTTCGTCCAATTCTCCTTGAAGGAAAGCATTATTGACATCAAGTTGATGGATTGGCCAATTGTGTTGCACAGCGATAGATAGAACCAACCTGACCGTTGTTGGTTTGACAACGGGACTGAATGTCTCATGAAAATCCAATCCAGGGCGCTGCATGAACCCTTTTGCAACTAGACGAGCTTTGAAACGGTCTATAGAGCCATCTGCTTTTCGCTTGATCCGATACAACCATTTGCAGTCCACCACATTATTGGACAGGTCTCGTGTTACGAGTTCCCAAGTTTATTTTTTATTAAGGCATCATACTCTTTTTGCATTGCTTGCCTCCACTCTTCATGTTTATCAGCCTGTTTGAAAGTTACAGGTGTAGGAATCAAATGGGTTAGAAAAGAGAGTTTTCTCTTTGGCTTGGAGATATTATTCTGAGACCGAGTTATAATTCGGTTTAAGGATTGTGGGGGAATCGAGGCAGCAGGTATGGCAGGAGAGGGATCACTGGATGTCAGGGGTTGGGGAGTGGTGGCGCTAGGGGCTGGGAGTGATTGTTGTGTTTGTATGAACTTACTAGATTTGCGTCTTTGGTACGTGAGTAAAGGCTTGTGGATGGTAGGATCATGCAAAAAAGAAGGAGCAAGAAGTTGTGTATTACCTGATGTCTCTGCAGCTACTGGTACTTGGCTGTGGCTATTGGAGTGAGCATCGCTTGGGGAAGAGGTTGTATGGTGAGAGTTGGACTCTACAGGGATTGGAATACGTGGTGGGATAAAGAGAGGAGGAGTTGGAATTGTTGTTGGAGTCTCCTCTTTGGATTCAACAACTTCCCAACTTAATTGGGAAGTATATTTCTGCAAGTGAATAAACATTCTTTTAAAAGGAAATTCTTTTTCAAAAAATTGTACATCACGACTTACAAAAATTTTCAACTGAATTGGGTCAAAGCAGATATGAGCATGGTGAGTCTGGGAGATACCTAAATACACACACGGGGCAGACCGTGGCTCAAGTTTATTTTTAGTATAAGGTTTAAGCCATGGGTAACAAAGACAACCAAAAACTCTTAGGGTGGTATAATCAGGAAATCGACCAAATAATTTTTGGTAGGGCGACTCATTATTCAGGATGAGAGTGGGAAGTCTGTTGATAAGGTAGACAGCATGATGACAGGCAAAAGACCAAAAATCAGGTGGTAAGGAGGCTTCATGAAGAAGAGTTTTAGCGGTTTCAAGAATATGACGATGTCTACGTTCAGCTATGGCAACACGTTGAGGTGTGTATGGAGGTGAAATCAAGTGTTCAATGCCATTTTTCTGAAGATAGGGCTGAAGACCAATAAACTCACCCCCTCCGTCCGTATAAATTGAGGAAATTTTAGTTTTGAAGAAATTTTCTACTAAAGGATGAAACTTTGAGAATATTGAAGCAACCTCACTTTTGTTTTTGAGCGTATACAACCAAGTATATTTGGTGTATTGGTCAACAAAAATGCAGTAATATAATTTTTTATCAAGTGACAAAACAGGTGATGGTCCCAATAAATCACTAAAGACAATCTGAAGAGGAATATTATTGGACAAAGTGAGTCGTTGAAATGGCAAACGATGCGCTTTATTAGAAGAACAAGAATTACAAGGTTCAAAATTGGCTTTTCCAGCAACGACAGGTAAAGAAAATTTCTTCAGAATAAAATTTAAAATTCTAGAGTGGGGATGACCCAATCGACCATGCCAGAGTTGATGTGGGGCTTTTGTGGAGAAGAGGTGAATGGATGGCTTCCTGATGTGCAGATGCGGCCACTCATACAATCCATTATTGTTCCGGCCTTGTACCAGCGGCTTCAGAGTATGCAAGTCCTTCACAACAAAAGTAAAAGGGAAGAATTCAATAGATGAGCGGTTATCTTAACAAAACTTAGCTACAGAAATGAGATTCTTCTTTATTAAAGGAGCACAAAGTGTGTCAGAAAGCTTAAAAGCAGTATTAGATGCCTGAATCAAAGTTGAACCAGTATGAGTGATGGGAATGGTTTTACCGTCACCCATAGAAACTTCTTCTGTTCCTGTATACTCTTCAAGGTTGTGGGGTTCACTAGTGACATGGTGAGTTGCACCAGAGTCTAGAACCCAAGAGTTTCCAGACGATTGTAGGCCAGATGCAAAGTTAACCTTAGCTTCAAAATGATTATGCGACTTGGAGCGACATACATCTGCTGTGTGACCAAACTTTTGGCACAATTTACATTTGACAGATTGCTTAAATTGTCTCCTGTTTTGTTGATTGTTGGAATCCGATTGCGGATTATTGGAATTCCATTGGCGAGACTGAGATGGTTTCTGTTGCTGATTGTTGAAGCGAGAATTATTCCTATTGAATTGCGGAGGTGTGTTGGACTTCTGGACAACAGCAGCTGTGATCATAGAGGATGGTTTTTCCAGATCTTGATGTTTGAGGAAAAGCTCATGATCTGTGAGCTTGTGAAATAATTCTTCAAAGCTCAAGGAAGAGTCTCGTGCGCGTATTGCAGCAGAGATTTCACGGTACTCGGGGCTAAGACCACTTAGAATTTTGACAATAAGTTCATCGTCATTGACAGGTGAACCAACAACTTTGAGAGCATCAGAGAGAGAACGAACCTCCTGTAAGTATTCTGCAATGGTTTTAGAAGCCTTCTTGGTATTTTGCAATTGATCTCGCAAGCTAAAGATGCGAGTATGACTTTTGTTGGCATAGGCTGTGTGAAGGAGTTCCCATGCTTTGTTAGCAGATGTTGCTGCGGCAACAGTTGGAGCAATGGTAGGATCGACCGATGCCATCATTGCTTGTTGGATCAGTTGATCTTGAGAGAACCAAATCTGATAATTGGGATTTGGTACAGTAAAATTATTTTGGATAATCGTGGGGGATGGAGCTATTGTGGTTCCATCAAGATGCCCCATGAGTTGATGCCCGTTTAGTAACATCACAAGTTGTGCTTTCCAGGTTAAAAAGTTGAGGTTACCTTGTAACTTAAGAGGTAACTGAGCAACAGGGTTAAATTGCACCACATGAGTGGTGGCAGAAACTGTAGGACTGCTGGCAGCAGTAGCATCAGTAACTGGAGTCATATATAAGCAAGCTTTAAAAGAAATAGATGGATCTAACTCGGTGGAGCTTATAATGCTCTGATACCATATAAAGATTAAGATGGGAAGGTCAAAAGATAATTTCATTAAGTCTGGCAGCAAGCTATTATATACATAATCTTCAACCAACTGATGCTAAAGTGCAGGCCACCACCTGCACATGATCTACAACTAATTAATGCTAGATAATAGGAACTATAACTACTCCTAAATGTGCTCCACATAGTAGGAGACTTATTCAAACTAGTAACAAGAGGTAAATAAAACATATACTAGAAGTTACTGCAGTTAGCAACCTACAAATATCGTTAATAGTAATATCGTTCTACATGTATGATGTCACGTAGGATGCATGTTCAATTTTATACAAGTTAAGTGTCTACTTGTGCACAATCAAAATTGGAGGGTGGAGATGATAACTAAAATCGAGTTAAAGAGCATATTTATGTTTATGTCAATTTTAAAAGTTATTGATATACGTGTATTATGCCACATAGAAAGTATTTACTAGTTCAATATTTATACAAGTTTAAATGGTCTATTTGTGCACATTCAAAATGCAACACATAAATACAAGTTAAAGTCAGATTTAAAATACTAAATAATAATTATTAAATTAAATTAATATTAGAATATAGTATATATATTTATTAATTTGATATAAACATAGTAGGTTAGTTAGTGGAGGTGTTAAGCTTTAATATATAGTAAAACCTTTCTAAGTTAATACTCAATAAATTAATAAACTCTCTAAAATAATATTTTTCTCTGGTCTTGAATTGGGTCAATGGAAAAAAAATCACATATTTCGATAAAATAATAAGATAATATATTTCCGGAAGACCCCTATACAACTATATGGTCTCATTAATATTATAAATTAATAATCCGTTAAAATTACAAAAATATTTAAGACAATTAGTGAACTACGATTCTAGTGTTTTTTGTCTTTTGTAAAAAATTAAACCTAGTTAAAATTCATCTCTAACTTTTCTTATTACATCCAAAAGTTCTGGTATGTGAAGCATGAAGAGTTCTAGACATGCTAAGTATTTCCTTACGTGTAATTGGTTACAAATGTATTGTATCATTTTCAACTTCATCATTAACATTGCTTTGAACCTCTAAACATATATCATTTTCAGTTGAATAACCAAAAAAGCTATTGACATCCACTTAGTTGTAGTACTCGAGATCATTAAGCATGACCTTTTGAGTTCATGAATATTGTTCGTTTTTTACAAATTCATTTAATTCCTTGAGACTTTTCCAACACATACCTTTATTAAAAAAAAAAAAATCATCATTCTGACAATATTAATTTAGAGAGGTTTTACTTATAGTTATGTTTTGTTTGAGAAATTGTTTCCTCCTTTTAAAATTAAACATCAAACAGAATCGGGCCGGGTTTGCAGAATATGTCGGCGTCGGATTCAGCTTTGCCGGAGGAGTTATGGAGGCGAATCCTTGAAATCGGAATTGAATCGTCCAACTTCAACTACAAAGATCTTTGCTGCCTCTCCATAACTTGCACCCTCCTCAATCGACTCTCCTCCGATGATTCTCTCTGGTCCTCTTTGTTCTCCGCCGATTTTCCCCAATATCAACCTCCTTCATCTTCATGTTCTGTTTCCAGCAAATGGCTCTACAAAATTAGGTATATATTCACACACTCATGTACTCAAAATTTCTTTTTTTGTATATGTCTTATGTTGTTTTAGTGTATTTGCATCATGTAAAATCTTAGGTTTACAGTTAGCTGATGAAGAAGATACAATCTAATTAGTCTAGTTGCCTGCAAGCTGGGCCCGGAAACCACAGTTACAAAAAAAATAAAAATTAGCAACAGGGATATTGTATCTTCTGCAGAAGGCATAATATATAAATGTGGTCATTCAACTTTGGGCGTGCACAAGTCGACACTTAAACTATCCAGAAGTTGAATAAGTAACACATGCATCATGTGTGGTGTCTTTACGTTGCAATTTGTGTATTACATGACATGCTACATGTATTATGTATTATGGCACATAGGACGCGTGTTTCTACTTTTCAACTTTATACACGTTTTAAGTGTTTACTTGTGTATATCCAAAGTTGGAAGTCATAGATTCTAGCGGAAGCCAAGTTAAATGACACATTTATGTATTATGCCTCAGCGGAAAGTAGTCTACTTAGTTTCTAGCAGTTCAAATGATAGTCGAATATTTTGTTGCTTTGGGGACCTTTTAATTAGTAAAGGCTAGAAATTTTGTCAATTCTACCAAGGTGGATACAACATGAACCTAACAAAGCACTTAGCTTTCGCAAAGATGTTTGAAAACATCCAAATAATTGATCTAAACTTAAAACAATACTGTATTTTGTTGAAGTTGAAAACATGAGTACTTGTTCATTAGTGTTTAGAATGAATTTCACTTGTAAAAAACTTGAAGTTTTGTGAGTGTGCAAGCCATTAAATTTCATTGAAATAATCGTCAAACCAGTTTGTAGCTTCAAATTCTCTATTTCGAGTTGAAATTGAAATAGAAAAAATTGAGAAAACAAACATTGATTTGCAAATGCTATCTCATTATTTGCAAATAATGTGTGTGATATTTTAGAAACAATCTCTCTACCTCCACAAGGCAGGGGTAAGGGTGCGTACACATTGCCCTACCCTAACCTCACTTGTGGGATTACATGGGTACGTTGTTGTTGGATATGTGTGTTTTATTCTAAGATACTGATGGTCAGAAGATATCACTCTTATATGTATGTCTTTTGTTCTTAAATTTTCGTGGCATTTTAGCTTTAGCCATATCATCTTGCCTTCTTTTTAATATTATCTTCTCCGGTAAATCTTATGGGAGAACTGATTGGTTGCTAATATCAACTAGATACGAGAAAGTTCGAGAACAGAAGCTTTTGGCCCATAGAAGGGCTGTTTTAAGAATTCAGAGTGAAATTAATGAGCATTCTAGGAGGATTGGAAAGATGGAACTTCGATCTGCAGAGGAGAAAGGGAAAATGAAGAATACTGTTGCTGAGTTGTTAAATTTGCATAAGATCAGGTAGTGAAGGACAGAAGTCTACTGTTATAATGTTATCTATTGTTTTTGATTCTTCATTTTTACCTACAATATGGGAGTTGGGGTCTGGCTTTCACAAACAACAGGTTGCTTGCTTTTGAAAATCTCATAAGCAAAAATACAATTAGGAGATTATATAAGACATGTGTATGGTATTCGAGTTGGTGTAGAAAACAATGTTTTATACCAGAGCATCACAATCTTGTTTGCTTGGTTGTTGTATAAGTTGCTACGTTATTCTTTGCTAGTCAAAGATAATGTAAAATGATGCGGCTGATGTTTGACTTTGCCATTGATTTGCTATCAGGCAAGCCAAAGTTGCACTAAATGTTTGGCAGCCAGAGATTGTCCGGGGTAAGCAGAAGCAGATGGTTGAGCAGTGCAATGTACCTATTGATAGTCGTATCCATGCCATTGAGATGGAGCTCAAGCTATGCAAACAACAAATTCAAGGGTTAGAGAAGGCCCTAGTAAGTTTACATTTGTTTTGTGGAGAATAATGTGGCATTCATCTAGTTTATGAACTGCATTATGATCTTTTCCTTTATATTATTGCAGAGTGTTGAAAAAAAGAGAATGCAGACAGCAAAGGAGAAACTGGCTTCAGTAGAATATCACCCCTTGCGGGAATTTAACTCAACAGTCAGCCCAATTGATGAACATGACATGAGAAGGAAAAGATTTAAGAACTTCATCAAGTGTAAAGTTCTAAGCCTTACTGCTCTTTCTATCTATGCAATTTGAATTGTTATTTTCAGGAAAAGCAAATGCCTGTTTACTTGAGTTGGGATGGAAAGAATGCAATGTAATGTCGTAGGAGTGGCTTTTCCAGATTATCAACTTTGCTTTTCAATGATACATAATCTAAGTGGATATCAAGTACACCTCCGTTCCAAATTTGTTTGACACTCTCCTATTAGTTTGTTCCAAAAAGAACGACACATTCTATAGTTGAAAATTATTGACTTCTTTTTTTGGTAACTATCCACATTTTATTACCAAAAGTGTTTCTGTACTGCTCAAAGGAAAAAAAATGGAACTCGCTCCTCAACTGTACATGTTTAAGATCACACGTTTTGAAAGTATTCGTTTCTTTCTTAAACTTCGTGTTGGGTCAAACTATGTTTGGAATAAATGGAGCAATTTTATGTTTTCCCCATATAAACCCCCTCCCCCCTCTTTTTGGTTGTTGGTGTTGGCAGCTATCAATTTTGATAGCCCATTAGTTCTGGTTGCTAGATATTTGTAGTGCTTTGACTATATTTATCATCTCATTTGCAAAAATGTGACTCCTCAAATTTGCTGAATTTCTCAGAAGGAAACTAGGAGTTGATGCACAACTGAATCGATGATTTACTCATGGTCGAGGAATCTTCACATTGGTTCGTCTGACAAATGGATGACACAGATATTCACCCTATTTGCATCTCTGTCCAAGCTCTTGCTAGGAACCGATATTACAGTTGCTGAGTTCCTGTTGATTATTGAAAATACAGCAGATTTGGTTTACCCTGAGTGCACTTAGAAACAGATATAAGTGATATAGGGGACGGCCGAAGGCAAGTAAAAGTCTGGACAATGTTGTTATTGTCTTTATGCTTGACTATGGGGAAAGAATGTTCAAGTAAATGGAGAATTGTTCCCTGAAGTCTGGAAAAGTGAGCAAAATGAATGTTGTGCAATAGGAAGGGGGACTCTGGGCTACTTTGGAATATCCAGTTGATGCAGATCGAGAAAAAATACTTTTGTGCCTCACACAACTGACACAAGTTATGTGTGTTTCTCTATGTTATGACAAATCGAGTTTGTGGGAATCAAAATGCCTCACACAACTTACACTTGCGTAAGGTTGCCTATGAAAAGTGGAATATGTGGGTTCACAAATTTCTTGTCAAACACAGGCAAACCATTTGGGTCCCCGCAATTTTCATTTGTCACACATCGGGAAACCACTATACAACTTGTGTCAATTGCTGCAGCGCAACATAAAAATCTCATGTTAATTAGTGTTTTTCATTTTTATGATAAACTTTATTCGTATGTCGATAAAAATGCTAGACTATGAGGTCTAATTATCTGTAAACTGGATTATGATGTATGTATTTGATGTTGAATTGTGCGAGGCTGCTTAGTTCCTCTTATCATAGTACTATGGTTTGAGAGAAAGTAATAGTATCTACTCAGACCCTATAGTAAAAGTGTGTTGAATCTAGAACAGACATTTAACTCCTTTATAATGGATGCTTTATTCTGTTTCCACTTATGAAAGGTCAAGCCGACACAATAGGCGATGTAATGCCAAGAGCTTTACTTGTAGAAATAGGGAGGAACATGTATTTGGAATGTTTACATATTTCCTTTGTTTAGTTTAGTTTTCGTTTATCATAGGAATTGTTATTATTAATATTAAAGTGTGGATAAATTTCACATAACACTTATAAGTTGCATATCATAGAAAAAAGGTTGAAGAAGAAAACTTTCCCATAGCTAAATGTAGTTGCTAATCTTGTCTCGACATGATCCGTGAAAGTTTTGAAGTTCAATTATTTCCTCTTAGCTGGAGAAATTCTCAGCTTCATTACATTGAGTTACACATATATAAGTTCTTTATTTGTCTAAGTTCATATATATTCACAAGGAATAAGTAAGCATTTGTGTACTTTGAAATGAAATAAGAACTAGTAGAAAGATAATTGCATTCTACATTAAGTGTCATCAAATTCAGTTTTATTGAAAAGAAGAATATTTTAATCATGGTTTACAAGAAATAGAAAATTTGTACAAGTTCTCATAAAAAAAAAAGGTCTACACAGAAAGAGAAAGAAAAACTGAAAGCACTTATGTTTTAAATCTATCTCTCGAATTTAGCCATGTTCCAAGCATCAAGAGTTTCAATTTTGACTGTCTCAGTACCATTATTGAAAGCAAATGTGTGTCACTATAGATGGCTAATGCTGGATAGACCCTTGATGTAATGCATGCCTTACCACCATCATCAAAATTTTCAACCACGGAATGATCAATCTGAAAAAAAAATCAACTAATTGTCAATACGACACAAAAGAAAAATGAGTTGAAATATGAGTTTTGAGTGCATTTGATATGAAAAAAAGTATCAAAGAAAGCTTACCAAACTTCGTAGTGATAATCTTTTGTCGGTTAGATTTGTTTCAACATATCCAGCAAAAGATGGTTTATACATCTTTTTATGATTTGTAACGCTTGACCTATCAAATTAAAATAAAATAAAATGGTAATGTTATCCAATTGCAAAAGTATAAAAATAACAACACTTTTATGTTTAAAATTATTTGATATCATTGGCCCAACTAACTTAAATTTGCATCACATAAGATTCGTTAAACAGTCAGAGTTTGATATCTATGAGAACTTTTTTCATTTCCAAAGTTTAGATCTGAGATCTCTCTAGTTTAAGAGGAGGGATCTCACCACAATACTTGATGATAAAAAAAGTGATTAAAAGACAAATCTTGAGGCATCAGAACACATAAGAACCTTGTATTTATCTTGGGTCTTAAACACTCTGAAGAATACAGGTGTATACTCTTCCAAGTTTTCAGAAGACAATGTTAGGAGTTCAAATGGACCAAGTCCACCTTGAACTGTCAAACCCCTAATGGCACATACATCTTGGGCATAAAGATCAGCCCAACTAGGATCAAATTCTTCTGCATTTTCCAAGCTTGAAAAGGAAAATGTAAATTGAACATCAACTCGTCATCATATTAACACTCACATATTAGCTCTATATTTGTCTAGTCATAATAATTTAGCACAAAGAACCACTTCAGATCATAAAACATCTTACATTATTGTAAATCCAGGAAAATGATATTGTAGGATGTTATAACATAAATTCTAGGGGTTGTTTTCATGACTCAAACATGTAACTTAGTATAGGTCATAATAATTCATACAAAATGATATTTATTCTTGTAAACCAAAAAAAAAAAAAAAAAAAAAACTGTGCAGGTGTAATTCCTTGAACTTCCACATTTTCTCCCTTGTTTAATTCATAATTTCTTAGTTCAACCTTTTTCTTTCTTAACATTTCTAATTCTTCAATAGGCCACTGAACCAAATGTTTGCCACTAGGATCAATCCATAATTTACGAGGAAATTATCAAATTAATATAAATAGATTGAGATTTTAGCTAAAATTTAGTGAAAGCTTTGAAATATAGATCTCGATCTTACCAGTGGGATCTAATGTTGTTGTTCAAACCATCTGGCCAAGACCACCCCATAACATGGAATTAAATTAAAAATGATTAGTAGAGGCATTTCAATGCAATTGAAAAAAGTTCTAATATAAGAAAAGAAATAGAATATTACATAAGGACACAAAATAAATATATTAAAAAGAAAATTCAGATCAAATCTCTAACTAATCACAAAGAATACTAAGTTGCACATACATTATGGTCATAATTATTTAAGAGAAGATAAAAACTTATTTGCATGATCAGTTATATCAAATTATACTGTTTTTATCACAACTAAGTGGTAAATTAAGATGAATAGTATTTAACTCTATTTTTTGTGATAACCATGTTTGTTAGGGCATATGTCATCTTCTATTTATTGGTGTAACATGAATAAGGATCATATACAAATATTAAAAACATACATATATATATATATATATATATATATATTATGTGAAAAGAACTAACATGAAATAAATAAAAATATGATTAAGTCACCAACATAATTGTGGTAGAGCGACAAGTACTCTTTTTCAACGTGAATTCGTATGTATCTCGGAATCAAATGTTAATGCCGGGTGAATATGAATATGAATATATACAATTATCCAAACATAAAATAATACAAAACAAATATCAATTTGAGACACAAACTAAAATATATAAAATCATTGGCTTGTCCTGCAAGATCTTTTTTTGTTTGTTCTCGAAACCAAACGGGAGAGACAATTAGAGAGCGAAACATATCATTAATCCAATGTTTAGGAGGCTGGAAGTGATATCTCATTCTAAATAAGTTTTTAACTAATTTAGAACTAGAGGATTGTAACCTCCTAAATTCTTCATGTGAAGAATTAGCTTCGTTACTGCAGAAAAATATCATAAATAAAAAAGCGCAAAGACAACTCTTTCTTAAGAATTCCATTTTGACAGAAAAAATGTTCTTCTTTTTTACTCTAACTTTGATTGAGAAAAAACTAATAAAGAAGTTGAAAAGATGTGAAGAGGATTTATAGAGAGAAAAAATAGAGATAGAATCACCAAACAGAATACCAAAAAATAAGTATGAGATTATTATCATAAAATTTAGAAAGATATAGTCAACCAAAGGAATAGTAAAAATAAAGCTGATATTGTTATATAAAATTTAGGAACTAAAAGTTAATCTTAGATTTATCTGTTTTGGAAAAAATTATTTGGCTAATTTTTCTCCTATAATTTTGACTGAACAATGTATTTTAGTTCTACAGTCCAAACTTTTATAAGGTAAAACACTTATATTAATTTATCATATCATGGGGAGTTGAGATCAATATATAAAAAGTGCAAATTAGAAAGCTCCATACACGTTTTTCCAAGTTAACCTATTGTATATCATTTCACATTTTAGTTTGACTATCCAAATTCTGTAAAATTTGACCTTTCATTTTCACTTAGGAATTTTTTTTCATTATTTCAAATACTTGGGAAATTTTTTTCATTATTTCAAATGCTTTTAATTTGTTAGAATTAAAGCAGGTAATATTGAATTTGGAATTCTCAAGAATTTATTAAGATACATGTATTTAAAATATTTACATTATACAAAATTAATTTGATTCATTTAGTTATATATTTATAAGTCTATATTCGATTTTACAAATTTAATTACTCTTTAATCTAGATTTTCTTTTTTCTACCATGTAGTAATAGTCAGGGAAAATGTTATAGTTAACAATTTCAAGTTTGCATAAGCCTGAT